CTTTACATTAATGTCGTACGAATGTCGACCGAGGTTACGCTTACGCAGTACCGTAGAATTAATCCGTTGAGGGCTGTCTATTACCTCATTCTGAGGTATTCCCAGTATTAATACAAGTCCTACAATGGTCTTTAGGGTGATGTGGGAAGTAACCGGGAACTTGTGATGGTATAAAACTAATGCCGTGCCGTGCCCGGAGAAGCTCTGAATATTTGCGTATTAGCGCTTAGTTCAACTACTGTAGTTTATTTGACGTGACCAGTGGACGTAAGTTTGTTGCTGAGCAAGGCGGCTGAGGGCAACTTGCCACTTCTAAGTGAAATCAATTTTTCAGCCAATCAAGCTTCGGTATAAGGAATGTTGTGCGAAGGTCGCTTTTCACCGACTGGGTCAACATTCACTAATTTGAATAGACTTTAGGCAGGTAACAAAACATTCCGACTCTCGAAACAGTCTTTATGAGGAAATGCTAAGTTCGAATGGCCGAATGGGTACAGTTTATTTATTTATATAGGATCTTCGACGGTCCGCGATTGCCCCTAAAACTCTGAATATAAATATTCAGAGAACTGTGACAGTATTCGAGCATGTCTCGCAGCTTCATTCGCCATAGAGTAGTCTGGAAGGCGCTCTGATTTGGGGAAATGCTCCAGTAGCCATTTCAAAGAAGCCCAGCTACCTTTAGCAATCGCTCGCAGCAAAGGATTCCCGAACGTGTCAGAGAGTTTTTGATCGAAGAGATACTACATTATCTCAACGGTGTCGCTGTTTACAGCATTACTGAATAAGTAATTGCGTATAACCACATATCGTGTTTTAAAGCGAATTTCATGCTCAAGCGGGTGCTCCACTAACCACTGTTGAGTAGCCAGTTGGTCGTGCTTACAAGCAAGGTTCATAGCATTCCACCATCGACAAAGCGCGTGATGTTCTGTACGCAAAAACACGTGTGATTGTGCAAGGCGCTTCATGGGATCCAAGCGTCCACTTTCGCCTAAATCCCAAGTCTCAGTTGCGCTCAAAGCATCGCGTTGAAAGTATCCACAGTCCAGTTATACTGGGAATACCTCAGAATGAGTTATGGACAGCCCAAACAGGATTAATTGCGTGAGCGTAACGTAAATGGGTCAACGTTCGGACAACATCCAAAATATCGTACTTAGTATGTGATTAAAAGTTCTAAGAACATGTATTCCCAGTGTAAGTCGCAGACGATCTAGTAGCTCGACGAATCTGGGGTGAGGACGTAGCCCGCTGTAGTCCAAAATGCATCGACCACGAGGAAAAAAGAAACTCAGCAAGTTCTAATTCACCACCGCATCGAGCGCAAATAATAGCCTTGACGATTTCTTGTCCAACGTCGTCAGTAGTGTCGAGGAGGGAGTAATGGTGGTTGTTATATAACCATCAAACCACCTCGCAGTGTTTACTCTCGATAGTCTCACCAAGTTCAAACGAACCAGAAAACGCGGTTACCAGCAAACCAATGGTGGCTAGAGCTTTCGCAGACTTGATAGACTTCGTTATCTTGCCCGTCCACATTCTGCTGTCCAACATCATGTTTTAATAATAATTTCAGTAAATGAAGACGCCCTTTGCCAGAAGCAGCTTCCACTACATTCTAGGGTACGTCGCAGTTAGAAAAAAAACGGCTAAATGTCCACTCCAGAAGCTCCAAATCGTCTCGACCGACAGCCAATTCGACTAGCTTGACAAATTGCCAGCGGTAATACTGAAGATCCGATCGAACGTAGTTAGTAATAATCCAATAGGCTTCCGTTGAGCAACCTGAGTGCAGCTAGATTCCCATATCCACTCCAGCAGTACAAAGGAACTGAACTTGTAGGAGCGCCTGAGTGACAAGCCTGGCGCTGGTCCAAGATAGGAACAGGGAAAACAATCAAGATCTTGCAACGTCAGAGGGTGCTGCAAAACAGTTTTTCACACTTTGTAACACAAACGGCATTGTGCTTAGACTGCATGGCGGTATTGGCTTGCTATTATCGCTGGTGGATGGAAATCGAGCATTACTGTTTTTCTGTGAGAATTCCATGAAGAAATCCCAGTACAGAGAAGAATAAAAAAGACTGTTTTAAGAGAACCTGGTGCTCCGCTCGATGGCTGTTGCTTCTTCCACTGCTGTCAGTCCTCTGGTATTCATGCACAACCCGCACAAGTCCTTAAGAAAACAGCAACTTCTAAACTATGAAGCAGTTGCAGGTGGAAGATTCGTTGTATTTCATACAGTTATCTATCTCTATCCGCACCGTGTCATCGGCACGAGGTAAAATGATAAAGAATTCTTCACTCGAAGAACTTGGTTGCAAACGTCAAGTACGCCGTGTGTCCACGGATCTCGTCGTCCTTCTTGGCCACAATGTGCTCTCCCACTCCACCAGGCACGTACTTGCGCTTGCGTCCGCCATTCTTCTTGCGTTCCTTCTCCTTCTCCTCTTCCGTCTTAGTATCATCTACCTCCTTGTGCTCGATTACAGTCGAAGCAGCAGATCCATTCTCCGTCTTCACCTTCTTGCCGAAACCAAAGTCCGGCACCGGCAGATCAATCCGTCGCGAGTTGTACGGCACCAACCTCGTCTCAATCGTGCGAATTACTGCAACACACACAAGCATTAACACCTGTCCAACCTCCAAAAAAAAAGCATCACAAGCTCTTTACTTACACTCAAAGTTGGCGCTTCGCAGTGCTCCACACGTCTTCTGTACTTGTTCAATGCAGGGCGAGTAGGAGGCGAAGAATCCTCCCTGTTTCAGCATTTTCGCAGCATGACCCACCGCCTTCCAGGGGCTGGGAAGGTCCAGAAACACCATATCAATAGTTCCCTCAAGCTCCACTGGAAATCCCTGCTCGCATGCGTCTCTGCAGTCCACTGTGATGACACTCTCAAGTCCGTTGCGCTTGAACTCCTCACGGGCGATCTCTGCTCTGTGCGCATTGAACTCGAAGGTGAAGACGTGACCGTGAGGCGCCACTGTGCGTGCAAAGCTGGTGGTGAGCGCACCGCTGCCCGTACCGGACTCGACGACGCGTGAGCCTGAGCGCAGTGCTGCCGCAAACATGATGGCGCTGGCGTCCAGTGTGAAGACGATCTGCGTGCGATGACGCAGCGCTCGGCTCCAGAGCTCAGGCGTCGGGGCCAGTAAAATGAGGTAGCCGCGAGCATTTTTCTTCCTCGAAATGATCTTGGAGCCAAACGGTTGGCCGATCATGTCGTTGTGGTAAAAGGCTCCGTGGCGATTCTGGTAGATGGCGTCGCGCTGTGCGTAGCAGTAGGTGAGTGAGTTGTGTGTCTCAAAGAGGATGACAAGCGATCCTTCTTCAATTAGAGGTGGAGATTTCCACATGGAGTTGGGGATGGTCGTCACGGACGCAGCGTTCACTTCGGCGGAAGGCATCGCCATGGTGACGACTGGTGTTTGTTGATGTTTCTGGTGGCGTCAGTGACTGGTGTGGTGTACGTGATAGACGACATTAGCGCGACATTGGGAGGAGACTCTTTACCTTCGGAAAATGATTGGAGACCTGTGAAAATGGATTATTGAAGCAGCGTGTACCACGTAAAGCGTACACATGTGGCTACAGCTGGCAGATCGCAGAAAGATCAGACGCTTGCATGCAGGCATGGAGATCGTCCCAGCAAACGTGACGTCGAGGTTCTTATTCGTACATGCTGACGTCAGCAGGGCAACGACATTAATATAATGAAGAAGAGTTGATGGCTAGGTAGTTTACGCACTTGGGCTTTTTATAATGGTTTCGATAATTTATTCTTCTGGTTGAGCTCCTCTACAGCTTCATCCTCGTAAGGTAGCATCGCATCTTCATGCAAACACCGACGCACGCTCAGCAAATACACCACCCACGACATCATTCAAGCTCTCTGCTACGTGCTTCTCTCTCCTCAATCAACTTCCGTTGCTAAAACGTCGCTGATTATTCTCCGCTCGGTCTAGTTCTCCTCAGAGCTGTCGTAGTTGGGGTCGTTGCGGTCGACGGCCGCAATGGCGCCTTCCTCGTCAGTCGACACGCCCCAGTTGTGCGCACCGGCACCACCTGCACATTTATATAAAAACAAAGCGTTAGCCTCCTCCATAATTTTACTCCTGTGCTATTTCTGCTGTGCACGCACCTTTCTTGGGTCCAGCAGCAGCGCCCATAGGGCCACGTGACTGGCGGTCCTTGTGGTCGTTCTTCTTGTTAGCGAGTTCACGGCTCTGCGGCATGGCTGTCTTTGGTCGGATGTATCTAAGCTGCGCTTGGATCGAGGCTGGCTTGTTCACTTGGTTGCACTTTCAATTGTGAGTCTGAACGAGAAGATCGTAGATAGCTCTGCTTTTAGGGGCGACCCCCGGTCTTCTTCAATGTGCAGCTAACAGTCGTTCTGTATCGAATTGGTGGGGTGGATGGCATTGATCTCGAACAAACTCGAGTTTCTATGCAGCCGAATGTGGATCATCAGTTCTTGTCGCAGACAGTGTGTCGCACACAAATCCAGTGTTTAACACATCACCTACGTGGTCCACAAACATCCAACTTCAACTCGTGCACGAAAGAACGAAACGTCGCGAATGATAGTGGCACGCGGTGCCATAACGGACGAAAACGGCGCTTGCAACCATGCACTTTACACTAGTGCAGCAATGACGTTCTGGCTTACCTGTGGGTCTTCTTACTTATCGTTTCGCTATCGTTGCAAGATATCGCAGTGCTCGAGGCGGCGCAAAGCATTTTTTTTTGGCGATAGGTCGAGGCTGGCAAACGTGCCACATTTCACACCTGACAAATGACGGCGAGCAATCCAACCATACAGACTAGGATGCCCATCATGCAGTAGTTTGTCGCTGCATCCAGAGTCCGGACTTCAAATGGGGTCACGTCGTCGAGCTTCGATTTCAACTTAATCGTCACCTCGTCGTTGCTCTTGCAACTTTTGCTGTTGCTAACTCGCTTTGAAAGCCGGAAGTTAACCGCCGCAATCACTCGCATCTCGTCTCATTGGAGCCTCAGAGGTCGCTAGGTACGTCAGCGCGAGAGAATAGAGGAAGGGCCATGCGCTTCCTCGGGAGCTGTTGCCCTCGGTCATTTCCACTTGAACCAGGTGGTTGACGCCACATACACTGCAACGAGCGCTTCATTTCATCTTCGAACTCGTCCAAGAGCCTGCCATGAGTTTCCGAACACCCGTGTTTACTGCTGTGGACGTCGTGGTGCGCGAGCAAGACGCACTGGCTGGATGTCCACATGTGGCAGAAATGGTGAGCGACTACTTGGACGCCTCGCACAAGTGGACGATTGAGAGCGCTGCTTGTGCCGGGTACATGACGCTGCTTGAGCGACTTGGCAAGAGAGAATCGCCCGTTTCGCCTCGAGAACTGGATTGGGCGCTCCGCACTGCAGCCGACCGCGGTGATCTGAACGTCGTCAAGTGGCTGACCGCTTACCAGCCGGATATGGAGTGCTCGACGCGAGTTATGGACTCGGCCGCTCTACGTGGACACCTCCACATCATCAAGTGGCTACATCATTACCGGGACGAGGGCTGCACGACGGCGGCTATGGACAGCGCCGCTGCTTATGGACGCCTGGATGTTGTTCAGTGGCTACACGAAAACCGTGACGAGGGCTGCACGACTGCTGCGATGGACAGCGCGGCAGCTGGAGGACACCTGAAGACCGTGCAGTGGCTTGCGGCCAACCGCAAAGAAGGCTGTACGAGTGTGGCCTCACACTTTGCGCTGCTCAACGGCCATATGCCCATTCTAAGGTGGCTCAATGAGCAGAACGTGGAGGTGCAAGACTCCGACCAGGAGACGGGGAAGCGGTCGCCGACTTGTTGGTCTCGCAGGGAACGACGCCTGAGTGCCACGCTGCTGGAGGCGCCGAGACGCCGTCCTCGACGTATGAGCATGGGACTCTCGTGCCGGAACTGAATGTGGAGCTGGTTGTACGATGGAAGTACAGACAAGATGCGTATCATAAGGCTGGATCGAACAGCTCGTCGTGAGGGTTAGACAGAGTAACTATCATCTGCAGAAGTAATTAAACCAATAGTCAGATTTCGTGTTTCTTTTTTCTAAAACACCTTGCAAAATTTAAAGATGAAGTGTATTTGATATCCAGAGGCTGAACTTCAGCCTAAAACCTAGGTAAATATGTACATGCCTGCGAGGTTATAGTGTCTCAGACAAAGGGTCACCCCACACGTGCGGGGTCAGCAAGGCAGAGTTTCCTCAATCGAGTCTCGCTAAAGGGATCAGTAAAGTAGTTAGGACGTTTCCTTTGCTTATTACAGAGCTGGGTACGTGCGACAACTAGCGAATCAACGCAACTCAATCGAAACCGCATGCGATCAATAATCATCAGAATTTACACGTCGAATGGTGAGACGAAGTTCAGCTTTCCTATTCTAGTCATACATCTCCATCTGAGCAACCCATTGTCGTTCTTTTTAAGGGGTGACCAAATTCTCATTGTCGACAGCTTCGCATGTTGGTGCTGCTGAGTCCGAAGCGCACTTGCTCAGACGCTCATTTTATATTCAGCACACAACACGGAAAGTCCCACAGCAGATTACAGCACAACAAACCATGACGATGGAACGGATGATGAGTGTCGAGGTGGTTGTTAGAGATCAAGTCGGCCCCATTGCCAGTGGATTGGTGCCGGAACTCATCGAGTCCTTCTTGGACTGCTCCACTCGATGGACTCTCCAGAAGGCAGCATGCAGCGGATATCTATCGCTATTGAAGCGGTTGGGCGCTCAGAACGCAGAGATCAGTGACCACGGCTTCGACTGGTCCATGCGCATTGCAGCGACTGAAGGCTACCTTGATATCATGAAGTGGCTAACAGCCTACCGTCCCGAGATGAAGATCTCGACTCGAGTGATGGATGCAGCAGCATTGCGTGGTCACCTACACGTGATCAAGTGGTTGCACGAAAACCGGAGCGAAGGCTGCTCCGTGCACGCTATGGACAGCGCTGCAGCGGGTGGTCACCTCGATGTTGTGCAGTGGTTGCATGAGAATCGTACGGAGGGCTGCACAACAGGAGCCATGGACACAGCCGCTGCTGGAGGGCACTTGGCCACAGTGCAATGGCTCTGGGCGAATCGCTCGGAAGGCTGCACGACAGTCGCTATCGATTTTGCGATCTATAATGGCCACTTCCCCGTCGTCAAGTGGTTCAGTGAGCTCGCAGATTTTCAACCACGACGTGCCAAGCACACAGCAGAAAAGACCAGCGACGATAGTGGAAATGCTTGCATCAAGAAGGAGCCTAGCGGCCAAGCGACGCTCACCTTTGAGTAAGGTATCCACATCCATATTTACTGATCTTGCACTGTTAGCCTGTAGCCAGCATGTACATTAAAGACAGCAATAGAGAACCGCAGCAACTTTATTCAGAGTCGTGGCTTCCCATAGAATGAGAAAACTCCGACCTTCAGTACCCTCTTATCCCGAGATTAGATACATGTTGAAGTGGCAGGCTGCCACTTCAACATGCCACCAGCAGGCTTTACTTGAGTAATGCAGTTACTGCTATGTAACAAAGAGTTCATGAGTTTAACAATTAAATTATTAAACTTTAATGCCATGCACGTGACTATTACAAGCTTTGGTCAAAGCAGGGCTATCAACCTTCTCGAATATCGTTTCCATCACTGCACTACTGTAGGGTATTTCTGTAGAGAACTTGTACATTCTCAAAGGTGCAAATCGCTTCTGCATGCTGTGCTAGTCGTGCTTGTGAACAGGTGCTGGCTTGAAGTCATGCGAGTCTACTTTACTGCCAAGGTGATTTCTTAGTGACGTGGTTACCACTGGATTCATTAGATTGTTTCCAGGTATATGCTCTCTTACAGCATGAAAGCCAAGACTCATGATTAATATAAGCAAAGCTGTGTTTATGAATATGGTCTTCAGGCGCCAACATACTGACACCGTAACTGGATAAGTTTTGATATGAGTTTCCGTCTCTTCTCGCTATACCGCAGAGACCAGGGAAGAACGAAGATGTAAAACAGCAAAAATAAAACTTGTGGGGGGAAGGCCAGCAGCCAACAAGAACCTGAGCAGACGTGTAAACATCCACTCGGTATCTTCTCCCCCCCCATCGCCCCTTCACATGATGGTGCACTTGGCCTTATTGCCACGTCGGGGCTGGTACTTCTCCAGGTACTTGAGCTGACGCAAATTGATGGCTCCACGCCGGAACTTGCGGATATGCTCCACGGCATTGATCGGGTCCAATCCGTACTCGATCAACGCGATGGCTACTAGCACGGGGGCTCTGCATTATTTAACAAAAATAGAGTCAGTATCTCATAATTTTAGGGCGTGAAAGTCTAACCACTCACCGTCCGAGTCCTGCGACGCAATGCACCGCAATCGACTTGTTGTTCTTGGAGTCAATAGCGTTGTCCTTAAAGCACGTTTCGACCAGATCAAGCCACTGATCCAGAATCTCCGGGTCGGGAGACTCGCCGTCGGGAAACTCGAGTTCGTGCACGTGGATACCGGCGGCTTCCACTGACTCGCTGCTGTACGTGACCTCGCAGGCGCGCACGAGGTCCGTGACGTTGTGCTTCTTGAGCTCTTTGAGGTAAATGTGCAGATTGCTGTCGTTGGGGGCGTCCATGATCACGAAGGACAGGTGCTCCCACTTGACCATGGTCGGCTTGTTCGTCGGCGCGATCATCGTGTCTCTCGGCAAGTTTCTATAGTAAAAATAGGTGGGTGGTCAACAGTCCTCTGGACTCGCTGCAAGGCACGCTTGTTCTTTTCTTCTTCTCTCTAGTAAGCAAGGCACTGTCGTCGCGTGTCGGTCGGTCTTGGCCCAGCAAACTTATCCCATCCGTTGACTGCGCCGCCGATTCGGTTGCTCGTCGATGACGTCACTGTCGGAAAGTGTGTGTTTACTCCTGACGGCAAGCTCGGTGCGGGGCTACTCTCCACTCCCACAACCAGTGGACTCGGCGAAGCGTCAGGGAACTCAGAGTTGCTCAATTTGGACGCCAGAGGTCGGGATTGACCGGTACAAAGGCGGCGGAGGGGATCAGCAAGACGATACAACACACACGCTGTGGGTGTCGAGTTGCTAGTTGCTGACGTGGGCGCGAGGGGCAGATAGAGGAGCGACCGATTGGAGCTGCTCGACTGCGGACTGCTTGGCTGGAGGGCGTTTTCTAGACTGAGAGACG